GTCCCGGCATCGGTTAAAAAATAAAATCCCGACTCGGGATCCCGGAAGTGCGATTTTGCCGACCTCTATTTTGTACATACACATAATATTTTTAGCCAAGAACTTTGGTTTAAACCATATGCTTTATCTTATATATTAAATATTAAAAAGTTTGTAAAAAAGCTAAAAATGATCTTCTTGAGCTCGCAGATATTTTTTGGATGTCACTTTTAAGTTGACAGAAATTTTTGTGTTGTTTATTGAGTCTCATAGTCCTATTTTTACGGCTTAAATTACTAAGCCCTTTACACTATTAGATATAGGCATTTTTGCTGCATTTTATCTCTTTCTTTTCTTCTTTCCCTTCATTTTCATCGAGTTTCAAAATGATTGTTTGCCAGCATACATCGGGGAACGATTTACAAAAACAAAAAATATTTTTTTCGTTCCCCGTATTTTTTCCCGGCGCTAAACTAGTTTCCGTGCTAGACTCAAAATTTGACGATTTATATGTCATTTGAAATAGCTTGTCAAGCTGAGTCAAACGACACCAAAATTAGCCCGCGGACTCAATATTGAGCCGAGATACAGCACCCTAAATTCAAATAAAGTTTCATAAATTGGATGTTCCTACGTCAAATATTATTTTGTGCAATCTCTAACTATGTAGTTAGAAATTAAACTTATTTAAATTCAGTTAACAATTTCACGATCGCAGTCTCTTTAAGATAATTTAACTTCAAGTGTCGTGTTTACATTTTTATTTAAAATACAAAACAACTTTTAATTAAAAACCATTATTATTTAATTGTTTCCAAGTGTTACCACATTTTTTATGAAATGGTTTTAAGTTCATTAAAGTATAAAATGGTTGATTACTATAGAAACTGTTAAAAATTTCAACATTTATTTACACTTTATTTAAATTATGTATAAAAATCACACGGCACTATAATTTTTGTTCGTTACAATTATATAATAAATGCTTAAATAATTTTAAAAAGCTTATAATTCAGATTTAATATGTTTAAATTTGTAGTTTATAAGGCTATATGTTGACCGCATTTTCCCTTTTTTCTCCTTTCTACATTTTGTTTTATAATTTCGTAAATTCTCTAAAACTTTTTCGTAAATCTCTATACAGAAATTTTCTTAATAGGTCTCCGGATATCCAGAACTTTAAGATCTCTCAAAATTCATCTAAAACTTCTAGATATGCAATTCAACCCTACAAATCCCACTTAATCCCACCAAATCCACTTATTTCCCTAGATATATCCTTCAATACCTTCAAATCCCCTTTAACTCCAACAAATTTTCCTTAATTATTGAATAAATTACGAAAATGTTCTGAGAATGTAAAAAAAAATACCTCAACTTTGCAACACCAAAAAAAATCCAATTTTTTGTTGATGGGACGAATATACTTTCATGGGACGCATAAAAGTTCATGGGACGCATCACCTAAGATAGAGCCGTGTCCCGTACGATATGATTCTTAACGTTGGGGATAGATTTGATAAGGTATTAATTTTTAATGAGTATTAAATAGTCTTGTAACTACAAGACTCCCAAAAAATAATAGCCGTCAGGATGATAGACAAAAGATAATTATCTAATCTTGTCGCGTTTTAAAACAGTTTTGTTTTTAAAAAAATTAATATGGTTTATTTATAGTTGATATTTTATCCGCAACATCATAAAAATTTTAGTCTATCTGAAAGGAGTGTTTTCCGGAAAATACATCAAAACATTGTTATTTCATTAAAACATTGTTCAACTTAACTTTCCGGAACGTTGTAAGAAAAACAGTGATGATGACTATTTTTGATGATTATTTTTAAAATCCTTTTTGAGGATTTTTAACAAGAAAGATTAAAAAAAATTTTTTTTTGGAAAAGGGAGGCGTGAAGCCGTGTCATGACAAAAACTATAAGTTGTTTTACGAACGACATCAACTCTGGACACACCCAAGTAGACGCGCGGCCATAACGGCGCAAAGCCATAATTTACTGGAAATTTTCTGACCCTTATCAATTTTGGTACCAATTTTTTTAGATCGATTAGAAGAATCGTTTAATAATAAATTTGTTAGGATTCGGAAATTTAGAAGCAAGTTAAGGATTTGCGCCGTTATGGCCGCGCGCCTACAGTGGCTGCAACCCACGAACTCAAATGACAATCAGGTAATGTCAACATCAACGTTTGTTAATGTTGCTTCGTGGAATAAACCAAAGAACATACTCAAAATTAATTTGAAAACCTTTGGCCTAAGCATTGCTTGGCTTACAAAAATATCTGAAGCGACAAGGATCTACATATTTAGAATTCTACAATTCCTGAAATAACTTTAATTCTCAAATTAATAAAATAATAATCATCTTTTAGATAATAGTTTAAATTAATTCAGGCTTATTATTATATCAACATCGGGGCCCCTCACTACATAAAACGACTACATTTGACTGTGTAATCAGTCATCCAAAAATAATACAAAACCAACAAATGAAATTTAAAGGGACATTAAAGGATCGAAATTTAAAGAAACAATTTTGTAATTAAGCATATTATGTATTGAGGCAGACTTGTCATGGAGCTGTAAATATTCTCATCAAATTTACTCAGTCATATTCCGGTTCGGTTAACCGTCCGCCAACAACCCTAATTAATAGTAAGTTTGGTGGATTAAAAACTTGGATTGTGTGATATTTAAAGAAATTTTCGTTCGGATCCAATAACCGAACGAAAACTTGCGGATCTGGAAAATATTTGTCCTTATTTTAAAAAACACATCTTCAAAAAATGATTTTAAACTATGAAATTTAATTCTTGAATGTGTGAGGAAGCTGGAACCTTGGCACAAAAATAAAATTTTTTGTGCTTTATGACGAAATTAATATTAATTGTTTACACAAAATGTTATTGAGAAATTATTTGTATTAGAATAGCAAATTGACAAAAAGTAAAAATATTTTTTTGCCAATGCTGCTTAGGAGTCAAATTGAAAAAATACATATAAAAATAAGTCTGTACAAATTTAGAATTAATTTCATTATTTATTCACTAATCATTTGAAGCTGCCGATTTATATAAAGTGCAAATATTTATTTTCAAATGCTGGCTAGATTTTTTATAATAAATTAACATAAAATGATAATAATTATTTTTGATGTTGCCAAATTGACAGAATAAAAAACATAAAAATAAGGCTATATAAATTTAGAATTGTTTTAATGCTCATTTGACTAATCATATGAATTTGGCAATTGATATAAAGTGCAAATATTCATTTAAATATCCAAGACCAGATTTCAAATTAGATAAAATTTATGTAGATACATAAAGACTATTTAATTTAAGTTAATATAAACCAAATCTAAATGTCTCAAGATTTTAATTTTAAATTAGACAGACTTATTTTAATTAAATTAGAGACTTTTTTAAATATATTTTTAACATAAAATGTTTCTAGATTTATCGTTATTATTATTTCTATCAATATTTAATTATTATATTGAGTATTAAATATAATAAAGAACTTATATAACCTAAAATTTACTCAGGGATTTTCGGGAATTAAAGGAACATAACATTGGATTTTGATTATAACTTGGAATAAATAGTAGTCAAGTTGCTTACTATTACTTAATTGAATTTTCAAAATTCAGAAAAAGTTTTAAGTTGGGTTTTTATAAAAAATACGTTATTTTTTGGAAGCTTGAACAATGTTCAAAGCTAATAGTGACACAATACACAACAATAAAAGGTATTGTTGTGTAGTGTGCATGACTGACTAAAGAGTCATGCACACTACATGACTGACTCTGCATGACTGACTAAAGATCTCACGTATTTCACATAAAGTCGCTCTTCCTACAGAAAGATAACAAGAAAAGAGTTAATTTTGTCTCGCATTCACTGCATTTAATTTTCTATAGCAAAGAATGTGTAACCCAACTATTGTGTGTGTAACCCAACTATTATACCGCCGAGCAATAACCTCGTTCAAAATTGTCGAATCCGAGATGCTCTGATATTTTTTGATTCAGCTATCATTTTTTGGAAGCCTAATACGCTTAGGCTAAATTTAATTTATCGTTACCTATCATGGGAAAGTCCCAGTTCCTGAACTGGGACCGTGAAACCGGTAAAGATTGGAACTGATATAAAAAAGCGGTTACTGGAACTGTAACTGAAGAAATTCAAAAACCAATTCCAGAACTGGAACGGGTCCATAGAATTTTTGGAACTTTCCCATTACTGATCGTTAATCTAGCGAAACAACCAGTTTATTACCCTAATATGTTGCTGGAGATACTAGTTAGATTACTTTTGTTTGCTCACAATACTAGAATTCTAACTAACACGATAAAATTAACTTTTAAGTTTGTAATAGTTTTTGCATGATTTTTGAACAAGATTTTGTCTCCGTTAAATATCATCTTGACTCAAGACAATTCTTTGATATTTTTTCACTTATTTTTGAAAGTATGACATTAATCATTCAATTTTTAATAATAGGATTTGTTAATTTGTCGATATATCATCAAAATTTTTTTAAATTATATATATTTTAAAAGCCAGTTTTACTCTGGTTAATTAAAGCATTGATCTCCGGTGAATAATAAATATTCTTAACTACAGCCACTACAGACATTTTTAATAATAAAAGTAAAGCAGAGCTGGGCTATTGGCCTAATTTACCATTCTTCGCGACTGACTATAGCTCTCAGGCCTGGGACTTTGACTTTATATCGATTCACGAATTTACTCACAAAAGTCCCAAGCAACCATACTTTCTTGCCATTTTTGTTCCTGCTTAGGACTAAAACTTGCATGTCTTTTTTAAATCGACTAGAAATCTCCGAACAATTTGACTTTACTCCATTTAAAAATCTTGACTTTATCGAGCCTTGAGTAACACGACTACTCTTCGTACTATTCGACTTCATACTCTTTCAATTCTTTTTCCGACTACTCTTTTTAATGTATAACTATTTAATTCCTAAGGCTGTGCAATAGTCGGCGTGGTGTAATGGCTAACACATCAGTCCGGTCTACTGAGATGCTGGTTCGCTCCCAGCCGCCGAATAACCTTTTGCACTAGCTTTAAAGCCCTGGGCGTCTATTTTCAACGGGTCCAATAAGGTGTGCTTCGAATAAGGCATGGGCTTCTATTGGAGCCGGGCTTCTTATAGAGGTATGTTAAATAAATGCTAAATGATACTAATTTTAATTTTAACTTGTTAACAATTTCTGAAAACAATGACTTCTTGTTCTTTCGTGTCGCGTTGACGTTCTATTTTTTGGAAGCTAGACTATGTTCTTAGCTAATTTATTAACCCTAATATGTTGCTGGAGACAATGGGTCAATTAATAATGGTTGACTTGTACATAACTCACAATATAAAATCCTAATTTACAAAATGTATGTTATTTTAATATAAATTGGTGGAATGGTTAAAAGTTAAACTTGATAAAGTTAAATGATTTCTTCGCTGTTAATTTTTTGGGAGTTGGATATTCCAACTAGAAATGTGTACCTATCGAGTTAGTTAACTTATTCGTTCGTCTTTAATCCTTAATTATGATTTGCTTGTTGACACTTGATAATTGTAAAATTAAAGGTCAATCAACAAATGTGTTTTATCACAAAATACAGTATTTGTTGAACAACAGAATAAGACTATTTTGTCGTGAGTCGAATATGACGACTCAATACTACTGAAATCTAACGCTTCTATGTGTATCACGACTAATATGTTAATCAAAGCTTAACTATGGCTTTGCCTAAACATTATTTTATAACTTCTGCCACTCAAAGGATTTCGATCGGAGGGAGTGTAAAGATTGAGGGAGGGAAAAGATTCGATACTTCTTTAAGATTGACAAAGGATTGCGTCGATCTTAATAGAATCCTAAGACATAAGGAAGTAGGTTTCCTTTCTCATGTCTTATTAATAATCCGCGTACAGTATCAATATTAAATTGCCTAAGCTTTGCTCGGCATCCAAAAAATACAAAAGGACGTTCGTACAAAGGGTCGATATTTCAACTAAAATAATCTATATACGTAAATTATTAATTTTTATTAATGTATACCTTTCACAAATTGTCCAATATTAATTATCAATAATGAAATGTTATATTTCCTACACAAATAAAGACGCTTAAACCACTTAGCGGTTTAACATCTATGTCTCGGCTAGCCTGAGGACCTGATCAACCCTCAGAAATTGACAGTTTAAGGTGAAAGATGTATAATTTATAGAGGATTAATTGGGTAAAATGAATCTCGGGGGATCAAGACGGAGTTTATGGAGAGATGAATATCAAAACGGATATCAAATGCCAAGATTTTTTATCCTCTGTTATCTCTTTATCCGCCGATATCCCTCTTAATCCACAAATCCCTTGATATCCCTCCTAATCTTACAAATCCACAATACAGTCTTACTACCTTTAAATATCTCGATACACACTCAGTCCTTCAATATCACTTTTAATTCTTAAATTCCATTATCCCTAGTTAAAATCCACTTATATCCCACTTGATCCTTCGATATCAAATACAAGTCCAGTGTTATTACATTTAATCCGTCCAAACTACAAAATTTTATTTACCAAAGTGCAAATTTGAAAACGAGTCGGCATTAAATAAATATAAAATAACATAAATACATTTCATAATTTACCGTCTTATTTTTTATTAATTTATTTTGCCATTTAGGGCATTTTTAAAATTAGCACTTTTTGTCAATTGCCGCAGTTAATATAATTAATCAACAAAATTTTTTATTTGTTTAAATTAGGGTTTGACCCCGACCCCGTACCTCGAACCCCGACCCCGTTCCCGAACGATTTTTTCACAATTCTCCCCGACCCGAACCCCGCCCCGAAAAAAGTGAAAACCCCGTTCCCCGACCCGAAAAGTTTCGGGGTTATCGGGGTTTTATATACTCAAAAAATGCCATTTTTGGGAGAATTTTAAGAGAAAAATTTTAAAAATTTCCTCCCAATTTACTTTACTTTTATTATTTTTGAAAGAAAAATGAAAGAAGTATCAAAATTCTTTTTCGTAATCTTTTAGGAGCTTGTGGTTGAGTCGCTTAGTTGTTGGTTCTAGCCTATAGGTCCATTAATAAAGGGGCTACCCGACACATGGGGATATGACTTTTGAGGACCAGACACTTGAGGACCGACTTTTGAGGACGCGACCTTTGAGGACGCGACTTTTGAGGATGCGACTTTTGAGGACACGACCCTTGAGGATGCGACCTTTGGGGATGCGACTTTTGAGGATCAGACATTTGAGGATACTCTAATGTCAAAAAAATTAAAAAAATAAATAATGTTAATTTTATGTCTAAAAAATGGTAATTTTATAATTTTATGGCTTGTTCAAGGCCTAACGAGCAACTAATTGAATTTTCCAGAAATTTAAATGAATGATTATTCTTTTTATTTTAGATTTTTTACATTTTGATTATATAGATTTATGCTGTATTTGGTAATAGTCAGAGGTGGGTCGGAATTCCAACTTCCAATTTTCGACGTTTTTCTTCCGATTTCCGATACTTTTTGAAGCATATTTTCGACTAAAGGTTATTCCAAAATTATCAAAATGTTCGCCTGCGGCGCATAAAAAAAAGCATGGCCTTCGAAAGTTCAATATCCGCTGATATCCTCCCCCTGATCTCGTTCCCTCCAAAAAACCAGTACCTATGTATAATCAAAAAATTTGACTTGAGTTGCAAAAAGAACTTTAAGACCACAGATTACACTCAAGAAGCCACTATAATTTGCCACTTTACAATTTTAAATATTAATTCAGTTTTCAAAATAAAAATTTTATTTCTGATTTACTGAGTTTTTCCTTCCGATCTCTGAAAAAATATTTCGATTTCCGATTTCCCACTTTTGAGCCAGTTCTGATTTCCGGCTCTTCCGATTTCCGACATCTCTGACTGTTCCGACCAACCTCTAATACATAATAGTAGATAAATGTACCTTGAGTAAGCCATAAAATTATAAAATTACCATTTTTAGACATAAAATTAACATTATTTATTTTTTTAATTTTTTTGACATTAGAGTATCCTCAAATGTCTGATCCTCAAAAGTCGCATCCCCAAAGGTCGCATCCTCAAGGGTCGTGTCCTCAAAAGTCGCATCCTCAAAAGTCGCGTCCTCAAAGGTCGCGTCCTCAAAAGTCGGTCCTCAAGTGTCTGGTCCTCAAAAGTCATATCCCCATGTGTCGCGCCACGAATAAAGGTTTGGGTTCGTATCAAAAAGGCGTAAATCGTTTGTTTTAGGATTTTTATTTACTAAACAAGTTTTTTTAATTTTAAAATGTTAATCTTATTTTTAAATATTGTCGACCATAAAAAACAATGCATGATTTTTTATTTAGTGTTAAAATTTCAAAAATTTTCGTTTGCAGCGCTAACCCTAAATCTTCTATAATTTTCGCCTGCGGCTCTGAAAATGTAAAACTCAGCTATAATGCTATTGAGGGATTAAGGAGGTTATCGGCGGATGTGATATCAGGGGTTACTCCTTCGCCAGATATGTCAGTTATTCTCTTTAAATCTTTCTTAATCCGTCAAAATTTATTTACCTCCCCAGATATTAGTGTTTCACCGGAACCAAAATTTTGACCAGAACCTGGTCCAATTTTAGTTCGTATCCCAGAACCGGACCGGAACCAAAAAGCGCCGGAACTTTCCGAAACCGGAACCGGAATTTCCGGTGAAACACTACCAGTTATACATTTTAAATCAATAAGAACCATTAATCCCAACTTATTCTCATTAATTTCTGAATAAATTAACGAGAATAGACCAAAATGGCTTATTTTTAGAGCATTTTGTCTTTAAAATTTTTTTTCAGTAAACCCCCGTACCCCGACCCGAACCCCGACCATATTTTGCTCCCCCGACCCGAACCCCGCCCCGAAACATTTCGAAAACCCCGTACCCCGACATACCCGCCCTCGAACGTTCGGGGTCAAACCCTAGTTTAAATTTGCGCTTCGGCTCTTACAGGGTAAACAAATAATTAAAATAAGTATTCAATTTTTTGGACTCAATTTTAAGAGGCTATTTTATTAAGTATTTTTATCCCTATTTTTTCCCTCTTTTGTATTTAATAGAGCCTGGACGTACATATTAAAGCCATATTTTACGGTATTTATCGATATTCATTAACGGTAGTACGATCTATAATTTGATTTATCGTATCGGTATTTTTCGGTATTGTTTTATTTTTATAATTATTAATTTTTTGATTTTGAAAAATTTTTCATTTTTAAAAATTTTATTTTATAACATTGTTTACGTACCATTTTACGAAAAGTAAAACTAAAATACAAATTAGTCCGTCCGATTAAATTTTCTAAATTTTTCATATTTGAAGGAGCTACGATGAAGGAGCTCTTAATCATTTAGAATGATTAAGAGTAATTAAGTGTGGATATATGCGATAACTGAGATAGCGTGAGGATTTGTGATGATTATATAGAGTTAGTAGGGTTTACATTACATTTTTTCTGTAATTAATCTCTCGTTTTCATTAAATTAAGGACTTTGAATAAAGAATAACGATATTTTTATATTGAAATTCAGATGATTAAACGGATCTTTGTTTCTTGCATATATTTACTTTCCTTATTGAATATTAAATGTGATCGGGGAAAAGAAAGTATTGTAGTAAAAATCAAAGACGATTGGGAAGAAAAAAGAGAATTTATTTATTTAAAAAATGTTGAGTTAGAAGAGCGTTTTGTTCTGAATAAAATTGAAAAGGGCAATAATCGATATGATATTAGTTATAATTATAATATTAAGGGATTTTTGCATCGAATTGAATTAAACAATGAAAAAAATAATTATAATGTTGAGATTTCTAATAGATCTGAATTTGCTGATGAATTAAAAAAGAAAGTCCTGATTTATATTGCCAATAATAAAATTTTACAAAATTTCAATTCAGGATTTACAAAACAGATATTTCAATTTTATTATTTGAATAATAAAGGCAAAGTACAAAAGTGTAATTAACTATTAGCAATTAACTTTAATCACTAATTTG